ATATATAATATATAAGGGATTTTAAAATGAATTTCTCGATAATAGTATTATTTGTAGATAACGAGGCGAGAACGTTTCCTTTTTTTTTTTTGTTTTGTGTTATGTGTAACGAAACAGCGAGAAAAAAAAATAATATTATTACGTTAACTATTAAGAGAATAATAATTAATCGTTAGGTGCCCGATAAGCATCTTCGTCATGTTTTATATATCAAGGAGGCGAACTCATAATGATAGTTCAAAAAGACGAGAGTGCCTTCGTGATAACGATGACAATGATTATGATGATGGTGGTGATGGTGATGACGGTGGTGATGATGATGATGATGATGATGATGATGATGATGATGTTGATGATGATGATGATGATGATGATGATGATAGCGATGACATTTCTATTATATTACATTATCGGAAAATCGAAAAGATCCGATAGACCCTCCTCTGTGGTTAACGAGAACGAGTAGTCACTGTCGGATAATGGCGGCTCCAAGGATAACAGGTGTTCTCCAAATTCGAGAATGTTTAAATCTGAAACAAAACAGACGAACACGATGGACTTTTACAATTTCCATCAGAGAAACATATATCATCATTTATACGGATGGATCAACAAGCAAACATTCATTCGTGTATGAGATACATCGTGTATATGTTGTATGTAACAAATTTTTAATAATATCAAGGTCGCATTTATACTTTTTAATAGGTGTAACATTATTACAAAAATTCGAAAGAATTAATTTATTTTATTTAATTAAGTTCATATGCTCATGGATTTTTGTAGATTATTTATTAGAGTGGTGTTTTGTATTATTGTTTGTGAAAAATAAAGTTTTGATCGAATGTGGTTTCATTGAGAACAAAATTTACGTCTGATAGATCCTTTCGATAAATGCAACCCTGTATGCATAATTTATTGATTTATTTTGTTTATAGTTATCTATAATTTATTTTATTTATTATTAAATAATAATAAGAGATGAGATAAATGTGAATTATTTACAACCCAAAGCGATTAACTCCACTTGTAGACATTTTTTTTATTTTTATTTTATTATCAAAGCATTTTGACCGATATTTCTTTTTTTTTTTTATTTTTATTTTTATTTTTATTTTTTTTTTAATAATAAAAATAAATTTCGTTAATATCACTGAACAAACAAATTTTATATGGCCATTGAATAAATGATAACGACAACATGTAGCATAGTAAATTTAATCAATTGTCTTTTTATTAATTGTTTTTTCTTTTTTTGGAGTCAATGGATTTGTAAAATTATTGACACAAATATATGAAATATATTTTTAAATAAAAAAACATACCTTTACCAAAGGCGGATAATAAATGGCTGCTAGAAACCGTTACCTAATTAGAACTCTGCCTGTGATGTGATTTTTAGTTAAACAACACACAAGTCACAGCCAGAGCTCCATCAGGGTACGGCGATCAATCGATTCATTTTTCTATAATCATTTCGTGGATAATCGTTCGAAAAATATATCAGCAAATTATATTAAAATTCACCATCATATATTCATCATCATCATTGTCATAATCATCTTTATTATCATAATGTTGTTTGCTATTATTCTCTTCGAACAATTAATTTGATAAGTGATCCATTTACCATGCAAAAAACTAATATTTCTCTCTCAAGTGGATAAATTTTCAAGAAATTTTCCACGAGAAAAAAATATATTATATAATAAATATTATAGGTATTTATATATACACATATAAATGCATACATACATATATACATACGTGCGTACAAATTTCGAAATGTAAAACTAAGTTTTTCTAGAAAAGAAATGAACAAAAAAACAAAAAAAATATACAAACAAAGGGAAAAAAAATATAAAAGAAAATAATAACTCAATAGGAAATTTTAGTTACATGATTATTAACATACGAAAAAGTGATAAAAGAAATTAAATCGACATTTTTACAAAATGTAAATTGAAAGAATTGTACAAAATATGATGTGACAATTAATATTCTAAGTTTTTTTTTTTTTTTAAATATTTTTTAAAAGATGCTTTACCTAAAAGCTTCAATTGTAATTAAAATCTTTATACAAATATGTTTATATAAACAATATGTAGATTGCATCAAAAGAAAACGAGGAAATGAATATTAAATTTTTCAATACAATAATGCATATCTTTTTTCTTCGTTTTCTTTTTTTTTAGTTTTTTTTTTTTTTTTTTTTATCGTCGGCTCGAAAACGACAAGCTCTCGATTCATAAAGCAGTTTTGTGTTTTTAATTTTCTCACAATAAAGTGCACTTTTACATGCTCGGTTACTGCGCTGCAATTTCGTAGCGTTAAATTTAAGAAAGCATATTCAATCANCAATTGTAATTAAAATCTTTATACAAATATGTTTATATAAACAATATGTAGATTGCATCAAAAGAAAACGAGGAAATGAATATTAAATTTTTCAAGAAAATAATGCTTATCATGTTTCGTCGTTTTTTTTTTTTTTTGTTTTTTTTTTTTTTTTTTTTTTATTTATACTAATTCATTTTTATATATTACATACGAAAAAGAAGATTAGTTGTTTTTAATTTTCTCACAATAAAGTGCACTTTTACATGCTCGGTTACTGCGCTGCAATTTCGTAGCGTTAAATTTAAGAAAGCATATTCAATCAATGAAAAAGTTGAATAAAATGATGTACAATTAAAATAAACAACGAAGTACCAATTTTCGGATCACTGAAAAAGTATCATGAAAGAAAGAAAGAAAGATATGATATGATTAAAAATAAAAGAAAAATAGAAACCAAATTACAAAGAATAAAAGAAAAAAAAAAAAAAAAGAAAAAGATACTTAATAAGATAGATAATTAATTTACTGAAAAAATATATCCATACTTTCTCTCTCTCTCTCTCTCTTTCTCTAACTTTGTTAAAAAAAAGCAAGCAATATTATTTGATAATCCTTCACATATTAATATACAAAGAGATTAACAATTGAGCTATTTACAGGCAAAATCGATTAACTCTACTTTTCGAATTTTTTTTCAAATTTTTTATTATTGAAACATCGTTTAATTTAGTATTGAAATTGTTCCATAATGAATGATACGACAATGTATATTATTTTATCAATTTTCTCTACTTTTTTGTTGTTGTTGATTTAATCGATTTAATAAATGAGTGACTCAATTAATAATAGTAATACGAAAAAGAATTAAAATTAAACATAGAAGAAAAAAAATATGAAGAAATATTCGAGCAACAATAGATTAGAAAGGATAGCCATTTTCTGTTTAAGTTTATGCGATCGAAAGCAAGATTTGATGATATCTGCAGGTATTCCTACCTGGAGCGTCAATTTGGTCCTCTGTTTGTAGTTGGAACTTGCCACCACCCATTGGTCCATAATCATCCGATTCGCAGAGCAATGCGTTCCTCATACCCGCTATACTGCTGCTAACATCGTTCAACGCAGATGGCATACTCGCACAACTATTTAAAACACTAACGACCGGATTAGATTCTGATTTGACACGAACTTCGTTATTAACTGTGTCGACTAAAAGTTCCGGAGGAAGATAAGTTAATTCCGATTCTTTAACAGAAGACACGGTTCGCGTCGTCGTCGTCGTTGCTGTCATTAGTGAAGTTGTCAATAATGTTGGGTTTGGTTTCGGCGTTGGCGTAGGTGGTGTTGTCGACGAATACCCTGACGTTTGTGATTTAATCGGTGCATCGTCCGGACATAAAAATACTTCGATTTCACCGTGCGACGACCTTATGTGCATTTGTAGCTAAAACAATGCATATATTACACCAGAGATATTCATTCTTAATTATTTTAACGGATTAAACGACGACGACAAATATAACAAATAAAATTCGAAGATAAAACTTGGATATATAAAATAACAGAGCGTGAATTTTATTTTATTTTGTTATTGTTCAAAATATTAGATTACAATTACCTTCTGTTGACCAAGAGTGTTGATAGGTTGAGGGACATGAAGCGTAGCTTCTGGTGGTGCCTTAACCGCCATTATCGCTTGGTCTTTGTACATCGGGACTGAACGTAAATCGTGATACGTTACGTAAGCATATTGCCTGTCCGCGCAGAGTTCCCTAAGATTTTGATCAGCACCATGTATTAATCGATCTAGGGTATTCTCTTTAGCTTCCAAATCTGCTAATTCTTTCCTTAATGTAGCGATATCGTTCCTGTCGTTAGGCAGTTGACCACCCCTTAAACAAAGATACAATACGATTACATTTTATTATCCTTAGTTGTAGTATCATTTGAGACGATGGTTACGCAAGTAGTCTAAGTCAATAATTTCACCCACAGACATACCTTTTCTTCCTATCTTAAAAGATATTATTAAAATTCTTTAATTATAAAACAAATTAATTGTTTTAAGAATAAATGTTTACTTTTTTTGTATTTTTAAATAATTTAAACTTAAATATATAAAAATCAAAATATATATAACTTCAAACATTTTCATAACCATCGACTCATTTGGACTAAGTTATACAGAAATTTATTAACTATTAAATGATAACAAAAATTATATTCCATAATTTAGTGATCTTTAATTTGCAAAAAATTATCAATTCATAGAACAACTTTTACGCTATGCAATTAGTAAAATTACCAAGTCGTAATTCAATTTTATGCTCATAAATTAAAGCAAATTAATTAAGTTATTTTTTTTTATTAGATTAAAATGTTTAATTAAAATTTACTTAATATAAAATCATGAAAGGGTTGGATGGTTTTCTGTATAACTTGAGTTATGTGTTAATTAAATAAATCAACGTACTTCCATTGTATATTGTTTTTACTTTTCTTTTCTAAAATTCCAATGCCTTCTAAGACATTCGTGATGTCATATATACGACGTTTTTGTACCTCCAACTTTTCAGATGCTACGTTTAAATCAACTACACCGTCTTGACTACTTTCGACCAAGTGTATGAACTTTTTTGTAAGTAAACTCAACGACGTATCGTAACGTGTTCTCTCCACGGTTTTACCTGAAAAAAAAAAAAAAAAGAAATAAAAGAAACAAAAAATATTAAATAAAAATCTAATTCATGGGGAACATGAAGCAAAATGAATAAACATAGATAAATGTTATAAATATTTTCACGTACTTTTTGTAGGCGTATGGCCGGCTAACGAATTAGATCCAGATCTTCTACGTTTACCTCTAGGTGCTTTAAACGTAGAATGACTAGCTCCTGTCGTACCAACCTCCAAATTCAGTCTTCTTTTAACTGCCTGTACCGATATCTGCTAAAGTCCCAAAAAAATGTGTTGAGACTTTGCAAGGATAATATTTTCATCGTATATAAACAACGTTTCTCAACTTTTTTTATATTATATTAAAAAAAAAAATTATGTTATAAATAATATTTTATATTTTTATTCTACAAATTTTTTTTTCTATAAAAATGTTAATAAATAGAAAATATTTATATAATATACAATTTTTAAAAACCTGACTCACTGGAGTCTATGTATAATCTTTTTAAGTGTACTACTGTATTAAATTCTCGCAAACTTACGATAAGATTTTTTGAAAATATTTTTATTGAATTTTTTATAGACGAAATAGTTTTCAAAATTTTTGAAATTATTTCTCGGTCAATTAAAAATTTACCGCTGCTCAATATTGGATCTCAAGTCCCATAGATTTAAAATTGTTGATATAGAGAAGAAATAATGTTTTTATTTTAAAATTTATTTTTTATTTAATTTTTTTTTTTGTAAATTTAAACAGAGTGAAACCACTAAGTGAATTTCCTTGTCGACAACGTACCTCGGTTCGAGGTGATGGTTGAGTTGGCTTCCTGGACACTTGGTAGCAAGGAGTTTGCCCATATTGATGATCCTGAAGATGAGGACTCGGCGTTTCCTCGGATACCTTTGGCGATTGAATCTCATCTAATGAACCATCGTCCAGGTATTCAGTTTTCACTGAACATATTGACAAAAAATTCAATCTTACAGACAACGAATTTAATATAAATCGCAGGGAAAAAAAAATTCGTATTAAATATTATATTAAAATTTGCCATTATATAAAAATGTATAAACAAAAAAAAATAAAAATGAATTATTAAATTCAAACTTACACAACTTAGTTTCCATCATATCCGGCGTAACAGGCCTAGCCGGGTCTTCCAGGACAACTTGTCTTCTTACTCGTGGCATCGTTGTTATTTACGATTACCTGAAATAATAATAATAAGCGTAATGAAGCAATATTATCAAAATTTCTAATCGTTTGACGGAAAGTCATATTGTTCTATGCGGCAACAAGTAAATGTCAACAATGAACGAATAATAATTAATTATAATAATTATAACAATAATTATAATAATTATAATAATAATAATAATAATAAAAATAATAATAATAATAGAAAAAAAGGGCTAAAAAAAGCAAAGCAATAACACAAAAAAATTTGTTATTTAAACAAATTTCATTGAATTGTTAGAACGTAGATGCATTTTTTTTAATTCTTATTAATATTAATATTAATATTAATATATATTGATATAAATATAAATACAAATTATTTATTTATATTTATATATATACATATCAAAGAGAGAAATCTCTAAAATACCTTAGACGGTTCGTTGCTCGATTAATTAGAGAAAATACGAAGAATTCGTAGACTTTTTGTTCATATTACGATTATCTCTTACGAACATTGGATTTCCTTATCTCTTGACAATTAACGTAGAAAATAAGAAAATCAGATCCAAGGCACGACATCGAAATGACGTTTATTCTCGTATTTCAACGTTTAAACCAACGAATATATTATTATTATCATATTCGATGATACATACGTTGTGTATATACGTTGGTTAGAGAAAGAATATCACGTACTAGTTTTATACAGGGTGTTCCGAAAATATCTTTCTATCTCTATATTTCTATCTCTATCTCTCTTTCTCTCATTTAACTACCTAGTAGCCGGCACGTGTTTTCGAGGAATGGTTTGTGACTTAGGAAAAAACGAAGTATGCTTAGAAGAAACTAGAAAAAAAAGTATCATAGAATCGACAGTATTTCTACGAAAAAACCCCATAAGACGAATTTACAAATGATAATACATATGCGTGTATGTATTAAGTACGACAAGGTTATAAATAACCTCTAAAATAGAAAAAGAAATGAACTAATTCGATGAACATTGGAAAAAAAAGAATCTATCTATGAATATATCTGTGTCTCGTTCTTTCTGATATCAACGTCTACGAAGAATTTCGTCAACGACGAACCAATACGAATTCCCTACGACGAATTACCAAATGACGAAAAAAAAATTTTCATCCAACATACGGATAAAAAAAAAAGAAAGAAAAGAGAAAAGAAAAACGAGAATAAAAGAAACTGGAAATGAAAATGAAGACACTTTTTTGAATGAATGAATGACGAGTAAGAAAAGGGAACGGTGTAGTGATATGAAATGAAAAAAACGAGAGAGAGAGAAGTCGAAGATTCCAAGACGACAGTCGCGTCCGCACTGCCGGCGACAGTCGCTGTCGCGGGGGACCAATGGGATTGGGAGCAACGCACGGCGCGTAGTCATCGATTGGTGGCCCGTTATCTGGAAGATAAAGCGGGCGTCGCGGTGGGTAACCGTAGCATCGATTGGCTGGCCAGCCGGCGCGGGCTCATGCGGGGAGAAGTTGCATGGAAAGAAGGAAGGAAGGAAAGAAAGAAGAAAGGAAGGAAGAAAGAAAGAAAGAAAGAAAGAAAGAAAGGAAGGAAAGAGAGAATGAAAGAAAGAGACGATTCTAAACGACAAAAATTCAAAAGAGAAGAAGAATAAGAATAGGAATAAGAAGAAGGAAGATGAATAAGAAAAGGAAGAAGAGGTTGAGGGACCCCCGGACCGAAAGTGCGAAAGAAGGGGCCCACGAAGCTTATTTCCCCTTCTCTTCTGTCATATCAGATGGAGTGTAGTATGTATAAGAGAGAAGGAATAGGTTGGACCCTATCGACGGTGAGGAACAAGAGAGAGAGAGAGAGATCGTTCCCTTTCTCCAGTTATCTGGTGTGCGTGGCTGAAACGCGCGCGTCTTTTCACTCAGTCTGTCTCACTCTTACTTCGTCGATGCATCTCACGCATGCGCGAAGATGGCGGACGGCTTGGACGATCAGCTGTTGACCGTCGTCGGTCGCATATGTGTGAGAGGGCCGACGACGTAACGATGGAGGACGTCTGACGATAGTTGTCTCTCTCTACTGTGAGATAGCTCCTGAACGTTCCTTTTTCTCTTACCCAACTGGAAGCTTCTATCTCGAAGAAGAAGTAGTAGAAGTAGTAGTGTAGTAAAATAAAGTAAAGTAAAATAAAGTAAAGTAAAGTAAAGTAAAGTAAAGTAAAGTAAAGTAGAATAGAGTAAAATAGAGTAGACAGAGTAGAGTAAAGTAGAATAGTAGTAGCAATAGTAGTAGGTAGTAATAATAATAGTATAGTAATAATAATAGTGTAGAGTAGAATAGTATAGTAATAGTAATAGTAGTAATGTAATGTAATAGAAGGAGGAGTAGAAAGAAATGGAGGAGAAACTAGGGAGGAATGGAATACGACGATACGCCCGGTGCGATCGCTCGCGTCTGGTTCGCGCAACGCGATACGCGCATAAGAGGAAAGATAAATATGGTTTGCTAGCGAAACGAAGAGAGAAAAAGAGAGAGAGAGAGAGAGAAGAGAGAAGAGAGAGAGAGAGAAAGGGAATATAACGCACAACGTAGCAAGCGAACGAGCGAGCAGCACGACGATCATGCGAATGATCGCACGTATATACGAAGGTCGAGTATAGTATGCGCGCGCGCACGCGCGCTCGCACCTAATAACCGTTTAAAGAGCCACGAGTGAGAGCGAGTAAGGGAGAAAGATAGTAAGAAAGAGAGAGATAGAAGCCGACTTTAAAAAGAGCATACATAACAGTTGCATATGTTTTTTAACACAGAGAGAAACTCGTATCTTTTGATTAATTCTAATCATCGTCATATCATCGTCATATCATCGTCATATCATCGTCATCACCGTCATCGTCAAGTCTTATTTCCGAAAATATTCACACAATCTTCGAATTTCTACTAATTTCGTGCATATATATATAAATGCGTGTGTGTGTATAGTAATATATGTAGATGAAGCACACGTATTACCCACCAAAACCAAATCGGCGGGCTGCCGCCGCCGGCTGCAGCCTGAAAATAACGGTCTCTTTTCCTTTCCCTCTCCGCGTGTCCAAACGTGGCTCGCGCGCGCACCTCGAGCGCACGTCCGCCCGGACGAAATTCCTACTCTCTCTCTCTCTCTTTCTAGCTCATGAAACTTCGACCTCGCTCTTAGCCTATCTCTTACTCTATCTATCTTTCTCTCTCTTTCTCTTTCATTCTAACACACATTCAGTTAGTAGTGCAGAGACGACGATGACAATGACGATGACGACGACACAACGATGAACAACGATGACGACGAAAAGAAGAACGATGATGACGACGATGACGACGATGATTATGATGATGACGATAATGATGACGATAATGATGATGATGACGATGACGACCGATGAAATAAAAACGACGTGAAATTAGAAGAGACGAAGTAGTAGCAGTAGTAGCAGGAATGCAGTTTTGATTCGCGCGCATGGTTCTTTTCTTTCCGTTTTGTTCTTTTCTTATTATTATCATTATTATTATTATTATGGTATTTTTTGTGTTCTTTTCTTTTTTTTTTAGATTTGTTTTAAAGTCTCTTTCTCATTTCATCACTTACTTACTTGTAAACTTACGAGTAAGACGCGATGCGAGTCGCGCACCGAGAACTTAATCGCTTCTTCGAGAGTACGCTTTCTTCCGGGAGGAGATTCACCCAGCGAATAAAATAGTAGTAGTAGTAGTAGTAGTAGTAGTGTGGTTGAACGCGGCTTGGCGCGTGTCACAGGGCCAAGGAAGGAGGCATGGCCCTCTTCTCCCGGTCCGCTTTCCTTCTTGCAATCCTCTTACTAGATGATAATGATGATTACGATGACTATGTTGACTAGGATGATGTGACTGGGTTATTACGCGAATACGGTGTTACAACAAGAGAGAGAAAACGTTTAAGACCTTTTTTTTCCCTATTCTTTATTCCCTTTTTCAAGAGAAATTCCATACAGGATTTCTCTTTCTTTCTTTTTCTTTTGTTACTTGCCCCTGACCTCTCCTCCTCTTTCCCCCTAACAGAAAAGCCGACGTAGTGGACGGTACCTGAAGAAATGGAGGAGGAGGAGGATTTCCTTCGGCCGGTTTTCACGCACGAGTTTTCCTCGCTTTCCCTCTCATCTATATTCTCTAGCACACTCCCTCAGACCTTCTCTTTTCTCTCCCCCCTCCCTCCCCCCTCTCTCTCTTCTTTCGTTCTTGGCCCTCAGCTCTCGTGGATGTTCCGTTGGAGTCCCTCCTCCCCTCTCTCGTTTTTTCTTTCTGTCTCTCAATACTTCTCTCTCTCTCCCTCTCCCTCTCTTACTTCAAAGCGCACTCTCTTTTATTATATCACCGGTGGTGTGGTGTCCATTTTCTAACAAACTGTATACACGATCGACAATCCTTTTCGTCTCTTTCTCTCTCTCTCTCTCTCTTTTTTCTATCTTTCTCTTCGAGAACTAATGATGACACTACGTAGTAGTAGTGGCAAAGACAACGTTTTAGACCCGACAATGTAGATTATGTTACACGCGTTATAGGTTCTTTTCTTCTCGTCAAATCGAGTTCGATCACCGTAAACGAGAATGAAGTCCTCTTTCTCTACTTCTACTTCTACTTCTACTTCTACTTCTTCTTCTTCTTTTTCTTCTGCTTCTTCTGCTTCTTCTTTTTCTTCTTCTTCCTCCTTCTTCTCCTCCTCTTACTTCTTCTGCTTTTCTTCCTTTTTTATACCTTACGTAGACAACGACCTCGAGAAAGCTTTTTGATTAGAAGCCCTCGTTGCCTAAAAATTCTCTCCACGTTTAACAGGAGTTTTAATTTGGCTTTTTTTTTTGTTGTTGTTGTTGTGTTGTTGTTTAATACTTTTCGCGTGTAGTGTTCTCGTTTAGTTGAAGTATGTGTTACTTTCTTTCTTTCTTAAAGGAAGGAAGGAACGAGGAATTAGAAAAATTCAATAGTTCACGAGTTGTACTAGATCGTTAAAAGACGCGGAGAGGAGCCCCGCCTCGGCATGCTTGCGAGGCGGCCACCGGCGAAGAAAACGAACCTTTTCCGTCCGGGGTGTCGCGCGCGCACACGAGGCCGGCTCGTGAGCTGGGCGATTGGATAGACGGTCCTGCCTGGCGCGCTGGCAACTGACTTCGAATTTATAACACATAGAAGTACTAGTATCATTCTGGTTATTTCCTTACTAAAGACCGTCCTACAAGAATACGCTTGACGATTGAACTTTCAATGCTTTACAAAAAGCTTCGATCTGCTTTAGAATTCCCTAGGCTACTAGGGTCCTAGTTATTTCTTTCGTAACCCTACCACCTGATTGGTTGCAACTAGATACTCGTTTATGTAGCTTTCTTATTATTTAAGGTTAATTTGTTCTATACTTACTTTTTATTGAAGAAATGTGTCTTGTTTGGATGGCTGTTTATAGTTCGATCGAGGTCTTCTTTGCTTTTAAATTATTTTTAGATGGAAGTTTTCTTCCTCCACGATGATGCACCGTGTAAATTCGACAACATTTACGAGCGTCGAGTGTTTCCTCTATGGATCACATCTTCTTTCTCTTTCTTTCTAGCATCCCTGTTTAATTGACGACAACGTCATCTTTCGGCCGCTCCTGGTAATCACTTGCGCGCCAAAACTTCACGAACTGGGTCTTCTTCTTCCTTTTCGAAGATGGCCTCGGTTGTCTGTTCAGGTACACTAAAGTTAATATCTCTCTTTGTTGCTTCGATTCTTTTTCTATCCTCGAAACTAACGCACAATCGATAAATATACTTAGGTTTGTTCTTGGAAACGTTCGAAGTTAAGAATATCGTTGATTATCGATGAACTTTAAAACTTCCCGCCAAAATGACCAGCCGATTAATCTTACATCTTTAGCATTTACACTTGTTAAGAAAGTTGATGATATTTAACCAACAATATGGGTCTTATTACAACACTTGTCACTTTCTTACTTCTACTAAACATTCTTCCTTTATTCCACATTGCGAAATGTCATTAACACACTAAAGGAACTTTTCACAACTCCAGATGAGACACATCGACAGACCCCCTTCCGACACGAAGGACCAGGGGCCTTATCGATGAAAAATTCTTCGGAGCCCTTGCGCCTGCGCCATTCGCGTTACGTAATCTAACCAAGAAAACTAGAAGGAGATCAAAGTTACTACAGTTATAATATACTTGTATACGAACAATTTTTATATATATATATATACACTTACATAGTTACATATACACATTTAAGATTCCCCCTTTAAAACTTAAACTTGTTCTTTGTCTCTGCGCACAAGTGTTACTAGTATTGCAACTCTACTCTACGTGCCAATGTAATTTTAAACTTTAATAGGTTTTACAAATTGATAAAAATAAAATTAAATAAAATAAAAAAATTTGTAAGTTAAAATAAATACTCTAATATCAAAATAATAATAATAATAATAAAAAATTAACCCTTCTAATAATCTTACATTTTATTCGAAATATTACGAATCGATCTAATTTTAACAACGTTGATCTTTTTACCCTAACGTTTTTCAGCTAGAAAACCTTTACTCTTCACTGTTCAAAACGGAAAGACATTACCGATGCTTCTCGTTTCTAAGCCGAAACTAAGCGGTTGTTCTCTTCGGGTTTTTTCGTTGAACGGAGGGCTGTCTAAACAGTAGCGTATTGGAGCCCTTTGAAATAGGGATCATCATCGATAAAATGCTCATAACTTTAAATTTTATCAATGTTTATGTTTCAATCTTTCTGACAATCTAAAGGCCATAACAAATATACGTACATCTATGCATATAATTTGACACTTTAAAAGGTTTATGTTCACGAAAACAAAAATTATTACTATTTTTTATTCTTGTTATAATACTTGTACAATAAAATAGGATCGATCCTGTATTACAAACAGTCATTTGCATGCAACAAAGGAAAATAACAAAAAAATAAAATAAAATAAAATAGAGTGCGTTTATTAATTCGTCATTCAAATAAATTCACAGATATCATATTAACAATTATATACAATTTTAGGGTATAAAGTATAAAAATATGGTGTAAGGTCAAGGGCACCGTTGAATCTTTATACGTTCCTTAACTCCCGTCTGTAAGAAGGGGAGCCCGGTGTTTTCCTTCTAACGTATTTATTCGAACCCTACGAAAAGAATTATACCCTACATAGGACGTCTCCTCCCTTCTTTTTCTTCGAGTTAACCCCCACCACTCCTACCCCTCTGTAGTTCATCAACTGTATAGTCTTTGCCATTTTTTTGCTATTAATTCTATTTTTTTGTGTTTACTTTTAAACGTAGAAAACTTGATGTAATTCAAGTTAATTATTGTTGTAATCTATAATTAATTTGTTCGTAGATGTCATAATTGTTTAAATATTTAGTACCAATTTATTGGTACTAAGAGAGATTGATAGATAGATACACAGATAAATGCTTTAAAGTAGCACATTAGTTGTCATTTAAGTATATTATTTTTTTTTATATATCAACAATAACGAAAACTTCAGGACGTTCAACGTCAGGTTGATCTAAGATTTGCATTGCCGAATATGTGATAGCTTTAACTTCGGATTCTTGACTGTGTTTGTGAATGTCGAATTCTTCCCCGTAAATGGTCGCTTTGATTTTGAAATTTTCACGATCAAATTCGTTGATTTTCACTTTCTAAAAAACAAAATAAGACATAAATAAAACATGATTATTAAGAAAAAGTAAACGAAGTAAATTACGTTTTATCGTATGATTTGTAAATGACTCATAATAATTTACCTTTGCGACGAGAAATGATTCTGCACTGAAGATGAATAATAGTTCGTTTAAAAATTGAAAAAGTAGACTTTCTAAATCGTGTCCTTCAACTTCGAAACTATGAATATCAGTTATCTCCACTCGATTAAGATCAGTCATATATCCGTACATTGCTATCGCACATTGTTCAAAAGCTTCCTCTAAACTTTCACCCCATGCGTGTAATCTGAACGTTAGAAAAAGAATTTTTCTATCGATCGTTAAAATTATCATAGTAAAAATAAAATAATCTATCATATGATAGTCGAAATTATAACAATCATTATTTAGTTGTTTTATTTATAGGAGATAATACGTGAAACATACAAACAAACAAACGAATCTAACCTAAAAATATAAATATTAAATAACTGTAATACTTACTGTACGTCAGCGGTGTGATCGAGATCTAAAAGAAAATATAACTTATTAAAATATATTCGATCAAAATTATTTCGATTTAATATTATCAATAATTACTTGAATTTTTTTCCCGCCGAACTGATTCTTTGGTTAGATTCAAATCTATTTTTAATTCATATTCTATTTTGACGAATTGTAATAATAAATATTTGTCTTTATATTTTATTAAACATATAAATTGATGAAAATTTATATTTTAATGTATTTAATAAGATTTATTAATTACTTACATTCGTATTTAACTGGTGGAATTGATAAATCTTCGTTCGTAAGGTCCATGGCCGGCTACAGCTGATCTCATCTACTTGAATAAACGATCAGCTGATTACTTCGTTGACTACTATGAGCTGTAGTACGCGTGCGTAAAATTTTTACTACGTAGATGGCGCTACTTACAAGGGAGAGAAAAAGATCGCTATTGTATCGACCGAGGTTGAATGATTTGTCGTCTTAGTTTTTTTTAATTGCATATCCGGGAAAAAAGAATCATACACGAACAGATATGGTCCTATATGATTTATATATGATCATACATGCTGTGTATATTTGCATGTATAGTCATATATAAGAGCTGGAAATCTATGAACATACATAAATATATATGAAATTATAGAGTTACAAAAAAGAAAAAATATATTTTCAATAAATGTTTGATATAATTATATAATATTATTATTATATATATAATTATATACAATATTATATTATTTCATATATATTCATGAATTTTTTGACACGACCATATAAAGCCTTACATGACGTATTCATACATGGTCATATATGATTCATTTTTTACGGGTAGGAGACACTTAATTTCTTTAAGAAAAGTATATATACTTAAAATCTATTTAAAAAAGAAGAAGAAGAAGAAGAAAAGAAAAAAACATTATTTTTCCAAGTTATATATATTACAAGTAAATGCAAAATTATTTCAAAAGTAAACAATCTTGATAATTTTTATCTCGATTTAGATATTTTCAATATCATTTAATTCTTATTTCTTTTTTTTTTGCCTCTTTGTAACCTTCTTTTGATATTCACATTAAAAGCCTTGGCATTTTCGGAAATAGAAAAAGTGAAACACGTGCTTTTTGTGATAATATCTTTAAACATTATTCCTTTTTTTGTTTTATTATTTTTCTTATTTTTATATAGTTTAACACTAATTATATATTAATATATTCTATATTAAAATATAAAAGCTGTCATTTAATTGTTAATTGTTAATTGTTAATTGTTAAATTGCGATTTAATTTTTTTCGTAGATTAAATTAGATTATTTGTAAGCAGTTAGATTATTATGACATAACATTTATTTTATCTTCATTCATACAGATATTTGTTTTATTAGATTTTATATTAGAAAAATGATGTTTACACTTATCTATTATAGTTATGCAATGATATATTTGCTGTAATATATGCTATTGTATATTCATAACCTCGATACACAATTGATTAACATTATAGATTCTTTCTCTTGCGATAGTTGAAAACAATTTATAATCTCTAGTAGGGAGACCTACATATTCCTCTCATATTTTTTTCTTCTATTTAATGCGACTTATCTTATACGTTATTGCTTTCTGAATAACAAACTAATGAAATAAAGATGAGAATGTTGCATAATTTTTTACTGCATATTAATATTATTATTATTATTATTATTATTATTAGTTCTAAATTAGAACGTCTATAAGATTAAAAAAGAAATAAATTAATAAGTAAATTAATAATTAACACATAATGATAATAATTATATAATAACCACAATAAAACGATATTATCATAATATTTTCATTAGTATTTATTTTTGAGATCGAAGACCACTTATGTGAGAAACTAATTTGAAAACAACCTTTAATAAAAATTGATGCTTGATACGGCAGAACAATTTTATTACCTGAATAATAAAGACATAACTTTATTTCATTCTAACTGTTTCTTATAATCATCTCATTAGTATAATGGCCAAAAAAATAACTATTAGATAGACGTAACCACTTTTGTAAACAAAGTTATTATATAGGAAAATAAGAAGATTAAATTTATTAAATGGGATAAGAATCTACGTGTTGCGATTATCAAATATTAAAACCAATTTATCGTACGTCCACACATGGAAAAATTGTAAAGTTGTGATGCTGCTAAAAAAAGAAAAAAAAAAGAAAAAAAATATGTTAAATTAAAAACTCGTTTTTCTATTCAATATATTCCAAGGGCAACAACTATTTCTATCAACAATCTATCGAAGTTTAGTATAATATAAAACACACCTTTAGATGTTGAACCATCGCTGTAACACACGTTCTAATGTATACCATTTGAGAGTAACTATCACATCAGGGCCTAGGTCACAACTTGTTTCTCTAATATTTCCAATGAGACTATGTTATGCTAACATAAGCTTTGGAATGTATACACATGTATACATGCGTATGCACGAAGAAATTGAAAATATTTAATGGATCGGGAAAAAAGTTTTTTTCGTATTTTCCCGATAAGTGATTCTAGGATCGCACAATCGTTTTTGTACTAATTGGATTTGGAAATATTTGCGTACGTTTTAAAGTTGACGTATCTTAGAATAATTGAAAACACAAACGAGTAAAAATACAGAAGAAAAATTCGATTAGAAATTTTATTATAAAAAAAAAAAAAATAAGGAAATCTGTGTCTCTAGTTGGTAAAAAATTTGTGTGGTTCTTATGAACATGGATACGGCATCGGTAGATTGTCCCCAAAATCTGAACCAAGGTTTCTTGAACTGGATATTTTGACATACTTTTACGTTAAACGTGTATCTTGTTTGGATTGACCAATCGCTTGAACAGTCGATAAAATAACTGCTTCATTTATGTTTTATAATGCGTAGAAGTTGTTTCCCCGAATAAATATTTAATCAAATGGAATATTTACTTTTTTATCCGTTTAAATTATTTGCTATTCATCAGATCGTATTTACGTCGTTTTTATTTCAATAATTATATCTTTTTCTTACTCATTCTTGCACTTTTATTTGCTTTTGTTACTTTTAAATTTGCATTTATGAGATCGTATTTATATCGTGTTTATTTCAGTGAGAATCTTTTTGTTTTATTACTTCCTTGCTTTATATTCTTCTTTTTTGTTTTTTTAATTATATATATATAATTTGTTTATCATCAATGAGATTATGTTTAAGTAATTTTTATATTTAAAAAAAAAAATCTTATTTTTCTATTTCTTTTTATATAATTTCATTTATATCTTGTAATTTTTATTAATTTGTTTGTTAAATAAAATTTAAAATGATTTTAATAAAGCGATTATCTAAGAAGTATTATATAAATGTGTAATATATAAAAACAATAATAGGATAAGTCAATAAATGATTCCTTTTTTAGAAATAATTAGTAGGTATGTGAAAAAAGGCATGAAAAGCAGTTTGCTGGGGTCACTTTATGACATAATTGCTAAGATCAAAATGTGAGTCTAATTTTTTTACAGTATAATTGATTCTGGTAATGTTTGTAAGATTTCAATATTACGCATTAACAATAAATAAATATTTTCAATTATACTGTGATCAAAAAGAGAGAGAAGAAAGGAAAAAGATAATAAAATTACTTTAAAAACTATATGTTTTTTTTTTAAATGAAATCGTAATAAAAAGATTTATGATGCTTAAATGTTTGAAGACGTCATTTGACGTCATAAATTCAATATTAGATAAAATGTAAAACAATTTTTTATAACATTACTCTGTTTAAAAAGTCAATTCTCTATATATTTTAATGTGAAGGATGAAAAGGATCGCACAATAAAAAATTTAATTTTTTTTAATATATCCAATCGATTATTCGATTTTTTAATGAATTAAACAAGCGGAAAGAATAATAATAATATAATTAAATAATGAAAAATTGATA